CTTTCTTTAATCCCCTCTCCTATTTTTAAACTACAATATTTGTTTCTGGCCTTCCTTAACTGTTAATCTCACTCCACACCTTTTTCTTTGTTCAAACCAAAAAATTGTTGATAACATTAATCTCTATTGCCTCTTTTACATTGCTTCACACACTCTATTTACCACTCCTCTTTTCTCCATTTACTCTCCCTCTCATACTTCTAACTTTGTAAAAACTTCTCATTCCTAAACTTTTATCCCCTTAACTATTCTTTACACCCATCATTCACAAATCGCTCCTTTTCACCTCCGCACCCCATTTCTCCCCTAACCACAAACTTCTGCTGTAAAATCTCCACATACATTTTAAACCTATCCCTACCCTTCGCCCCATTCTATGCTTCATTACTCTATCTTCAATAGCTGTTTATATCTTCCCCTAACTGCCTCTTAGTTTAAAAACCTTCACCCCCTCTTTTCCCTGATGCACTATTTCCTGTATCCCTCTCCTTTTACTCTCAGTTAGCAAAACACTAAAAAGTGATCCTATATAATCTGTGGACCCCCTTAAACTGAAATTCCTGAATCTATAACAGTCTTTATATTACAAAAGGTTTCTGAAAAACTAAAACAGTTGGTATACCTAACCCCGTAGTGGGTTTTTCTAACATTATTTACTTCACATTGATAATGAATATCCACGAACATCTAAGGGCAAATTGTTTAATTCTCTTCGTTATACTTTTGAAAACGCTGTCCAATACCTTTCACAGATTGATAAGTTAAACATATTTCCAATAAAGGGAAACCCAAACGTTGTAACTGTAGTGTCTATGCATAAAAGCTGAGGTAACCCAACTAAGGCCGGGCCCCGAAATTCCCGCATTTCAAAATGGGTTTTTTGCTGTCCTTGCACTTTTTCCCTAAGAGGAGGGTTAGGGGTTCTCCTTCTTCAGAAATGGCGAGAGCTTGCCTGGATCTGTTAAAATCGAGAGGGGGTGTATCAAGTGTAAGTACCTTGCACTTTCCAATTCAATCGGCTTTAGGCATAACCACCCCTATTTTGATGGTTGGAAACGAAAGTCAAGGGGTGGTTTGGGTTGCTTGAAAGGCTTCGTACTGTCACCCAAATATTTGTTCTTGCACGGAAGTTGTTGGTTTAAGTCTCCTAGAAAGGTGTCAAATCTAAACGATGCCCCTGCCGTAACTTAGTTTTTTTCCCCAAATATGTATCAATGATTTCCCTTTATCTTCTTAATGTTATGTCAATGCATGCTCTTATGTCAGTAAACCCACAAGTATTGCTAATGAACATGCTGAAAGTCCTCAGAAAGAAAACAAAATCTATCTTAACACTAGGAAATTTAAGCCTCTCTTTGAGAAACATAAACTAATTAATTTTAATGTAAATTTTAAAGGGGAGCCCTTTCATCTTTGGTTAACCAGTAAAATATATGGGTAAATCCCCTTTAATGCATGTCAAGAATTAAAGGGGCCCACATTTTGGTTTATAAAAAAGCGAATCCCTTTGCCCCATTGTGTAAGACAAGAAGTGTCTACCTAACAGGTGGCCTATTCAAGCCCTTAACAATTGCCAATGAAGTGTCCTTGTATCTTTACAAAAACAGTGACTCTCACCCAGCTCGTAAGATTCCCTTTTGGGCTGGGCCCCAAAAACTTTGGCCAAGGGATTAACGCTTGATATTCTTGAATTTTGACAAAAAACCTGAAGCTAATCATGTTTAAATTCTCCAAACAATCCAGAATATTTCCCAAATTTTCGGGGGGAAACCAAAGCATTTAGTACGGGTAAGAAACAACTTTGTATACCCAAAGTGGCCAGGTTAAAACACCTTTATTGTACCAATAAGTTAATAACAATGCCACATGAAACCGTCTAGCATACCTTCAGGGTCAATGTCTAATGGTGTAGACAGAAAAGGGCAATTTTTCTTTTTTAGAAACATAGGAAATTTTCCCATATTCCCTGTAAGACCCCATTAGAGCAATGCCGGTTTAAATATCTTTTTAGTATGATAATAAAGTGTTTTTATTAAGATGAATAAGAAAGATTTCTTTCGGATTTTTAACCCAGGGTTAGCCAAGGATAACCAAAAATAGTCCGTATGAATTTAAACTTTTCAATGGGGTCATTGTCCCAGGTGCGACCAAAAACGTGTAAACCAGTACCTATTTGCTTCTAGTGAACGGGACACATGTAATGAAACGTTCAAATGTTTCACCGCCGGAATGAACCGGCCCTTTTGTGAACGGGAGTTTACCCCAGGAGGGCCCAATAAGAAATATTATAACCTTTATATTATAATAATAAGGTAAAAGGACCCCAATGGAAATAAGTCACTCTGTCGGACTTTTTTGGGTTATCCTAGGTTTCCCTCTACCATATGCTGCTATGTATGATAATTCTATGTAACTGTATTTGTGTATACCTGAATAAACTTACATACTTACTTACTTACTTACCAATACATAATCCAACAAAACTACTGTCATTTCACCCTACATCATATCTTGTATACTTATTTATCCTCTTTTTCTTAAAATATGTATTACCTATTACATATTATTCTTCTCCTCTTCTTCTCCTCCTCCTCCTCCTCCTCCTCCTCCTCCTCCTCCTCCTCCTCCTCCTCCCCCTCCCTCCTCCCCCCTCTCCTCCTCCTCCATCCCCCCTTTTCTCCTTCTCCTCCCCTCCCCCCCTCCTCCCCCTCCTCCTCCTCCTTCTCCATCCCCTCCTCCCTCCTCCCCCTTCCCCTTTCCTCCTCCTCCTTCATCTTCGTCTTTCTCCTCCTCCTCCTCCTCATTGTTATTACATACTTCCACATATCCAAAACATTGCTGGGACATAAAATACTTTGTATATATTCCAGTACAATAGTAAATGGCTAAGGCAGGTGTAAATGTCCACCTGTCATGTGTTTGTGACAAATTTGAGTACAAATTCAGTGCCTAATACTAGTTTTCAGAACAAAGATTGGTTATAAAAAGACAAGAACTACTACAAATGTAATAATTAAACAGAACATAAAAATTACATAAAATATTATGAAAAAAAAAAAAAAGGTATATCGGCAACACTTTCTGCAAGCGGCAGGACTTGATGTTGCTGCCACGTGAACATCCAGTGCCAACTTCTCGGCCTCATATCTCGGTAAGTACTGACCCTAATTTTTTTTTTATTCTAAAATATGTCAAAAAATATGTTCTTATTTTTCTATAATTTTTTTTTCAAAATATTCGGGCGCTGCGCAAGTATATACTTTGGACTGTTTAAGGGTTAAAGACTAATTTCAGACAAAACTACTGTCCTTTATAGATCCCATTTCCAACTGCTCTATTACTGTCACCTCTTCTCCCTGTTGATAGTGTCATGAAAATCTATTTTTTTCCTCTTATCTTTTATGAACTTACATGTATTTTTTTATGCACAGTAGTATAAAGTGATTTTTTTTCTCCAACAGTCAACATTCTCCTACCCAGGCGGGCTACTCAAAGAAAGAAACACTTTCACTGTCATTCAACACTTTCTCATCATTCACATATAATCACTGTCTTTGCAGAGGTGCTCAGATACAACAGTTTAGATGTCATGTATTTCAGCCATCACCACAAGATTAGTCATATGGATGACTAAGACGTGCAGAAAAGAGTCACCCACACTAGAGGCTATAAATGGACAAAGTCATTTGTGTGGTACCAGTGGATAATTTTTAAGCAATACAGCAGTAGTAGAAGTGGTTGCATGTAGGCAGTTCCTACTAATGGGAAAATAAGTTTTGACCCCTTGGGTGGGACATAGATTTAAAAGATAGAGTTGTAGAATTTTGTATTCTCTGTAGCCAAGATTCCACTATATTGGTTATTCATCATCCTGTCAGTATTGTATACCCTTGATCCAGTGATACTTGTCTGACAGCAATGCTATGAAATATTGGTGTGGATAATACAAGATTCTACAACTTGATTTCTAAATAGCTGTAGAATCTAGATGGGCTTGACCTACTTCCACTAGTGGGCCCCACCCACGTGTGACCATGTCTTTTACTGTTGCATTGCTTCACTTCTTCCACTGGCTATATTATAAAAGCCTCCATTCTAATGTCTTTGTATTAGATTCACAAAACTTCTGGTTGGTGAAACATCTGTCAAGGATGTCCAGGTGTTGCACATATGTCTTATTCATCACATTCTTTGTGAAACTTTGAAATTATTAAAGAAACTGTAAATGTTCACAGTGTAACACTAATTCTCTTTAAAGTTTAATAAATATTTAATCCATTTGTCATCATAAATTCCTCATGTTTGCACAGCTGGGTATATCTTGTGCTGAGAATGAAGAGCACCTAGCAGTCCTCTACTGTACAGTGTGTGCATCTCACCTATGCCTTGAGTGTTCTGAGTGTACCCATGCCACCAAAACGCTTCACAAGCATAAACACATCCCATTATCTGGTTAATAAGTTCCCAACAATTTAAGTTTTGTATTTAAAATTACACAATAGTATTTATAATACGCTGTAACAAATTTATTGTATGTATGCACTGGCAGAACACACGTTATTGACAAGGATGACAACAACTGGAGTGAAAGTCATCCTGAAAGGCACTTGGCCAGTTCTTTAAATATTAAATTTATGCCTGTCATAAATTCCTCATGGCCTAAAGCAGGTGTTACCTACTTTCTTTTTTGTTTATATGATCCACACTAAGATTAAAGTTTTTAAAGAAGCGACACTTCGAATAGTATAAAGCGAAATGCAAATGAAGGTACGGTATTTAATTTTGTGTATAAATCCAAGGTGGAAGGAAGGAGGGGCAGGGGTCAACCAAGGGAGGGTGTGAATTTTAAGTTGTAATTATGCAGTAGGAGCTTGAGCATCCTACAGGCAAATGTGAGTGCTTTGAACAAGTAGTGTTTAGGATTTAAATTGCTCATGGAGTGTGAACAAGGTAACATGGAAGAATTCAAGGTAACTGGTTAGCTGAACTAAGGTTCTTACCTGGAGTTTACCTGGAGAGGGTTTTGGGGGTCAATGCCCCCGAGGCCCGGTCTGAGACCAGGCCTCATGGTGGATCAGGGTCTGATCAACCAGGCTGGTAGGCAGTGCAGTGCAGTGCTTGCACTCTGATGGAGAGATGGGGATATTCAGTTCAGAGGTCATTTGAGTTGAGTTCTCTGTGCATTTCTGGCAAGACATCTATTGAATGAATGAATATCAATGCATTTCCTTATTTTGGTCACTACCTTGGCAGGAGGAGAATGAGGTAATCAGTCCCTCAACCTTGAGTCGATGTGGTCAGTCCATCAATCTTGAATAGAATACAGCAGCATATGTGCAGAGAAGTAGCTTATATACCATAGGCAGGAGAGGTGCAGCAGTCGTAGGTGGTGTCACACTTGTCCATTGTGGAAATTAGGTGATGCCCAAGGGTTAGGCAAGCAAAGAATTCGCAAGTATTAAGATCCCAAGAAGTTGCAGTGTCTGACAGGATTGTAGATGAATGGTTCAAAGAACTGACACAATGATAAATTAGACACATGAGCAACTGATGAAGCCACTGTAAACATGGGAAATAATTTTTCAATAAAAACAAATTGGCCTAGAGGGGGGGTAACCAAGAGGGGCGAAGGGGGGGGTCGGAGGCCCCCTTAGGGGGGAAATGTTTCTTTGGGGAAAAAGGGGAGGTGGGAAGGACCCAAATGGGGAGGGGAAGGGGACCCGGATTTTTCAGGTGGTAGGCAAGTTTCAAAGGGGGGTGGAAAGCCGTGGAATGTGAGGGCTTTGGGGGGGTATGGGGTCAAATTCGGGAGGGGGGAATGTTTTTGGAGGGGAGTGGAGGGGGGATTTCTGATTTTAACCCGGAAAATTTCCGGGGGTCCAACGCCCGCCCCCGCGTTGGACCACTGCCCCCTTAGGCAGGGGGTCACCACGTTAAAACCATACAAAAGGTACCCAATTTAAATGTGAACATAAAAAGGGGGAAAACAACTCCAAGTTTCCAATCTGGCCCGGGAATTTCCGACCCGGCTGGCCTACCCTTGGTTTGCGTGAGAGCGAACCACCTTTAAAAATAAAAAATTTTTTAAAGTGAAATTAAAAATTTCTTCATAAATAATTGGTAAATTTGGAAAGTTTTAAAAAAAATTGGTTAAATAAAGGTAAAACAATAAAGGTTTTAAAATTTGGGGGTTAAAAAATAGGGGAAATTTTGGGGGGTTTTAAAAGTGGGACAATATATAGGGATTAATAGGTTAAATAACGGGGGGAATAAATTTTGGGGGTTTTTTCGGTATGGGGAATATTAGGAATTTTAAGGGGGGTTATTATTTTTTAATTAAAAATATTTTTTGTTAATAATAATAATAAAATTTTGTTATAATAAAATAAATTGAAAAATGGAAAATAATATTATATTTGCAAAATTTTTTGGTTATTATATTGTTTTATATAATATTTGTTTTATTATTTGATAAATTTTAAATTTTTAAATTAATAGGATAAAAAAAATATTTTTGGTCATAATTTGTTTAATTTATTTGTGGTCTAATTTTGGTAAAAAAAGGTATAAAAAGGGATTAAAAAAGTTATAAAAAAAATTTTAAAAAAAGTTTATAAAAAAAGGATGAAAAAATTTGGGATAAAAACCCAAGGAATGACCCCACTTTTTTATCCATTTTAACACCCAGGATTGAACCCAGTTTTAACCCCAGGTGCCACCCAACAACCAGTCCCCCTCCCAGGATGGCACCCACCCCGGGTCCCAACCCCCCAGGATGCCACCCACACCAGTCCACAAACACCCAGGATGCCACCCACACCAGTCCACTAACACCCAGGATGCCACCCACCAGTCCACAACACCCAGTGCCACCCCACCAGTCCACTAACACCCAGGATGCCACCCACACCAGTCCACTAACACCCAGGATGCCACCCACACCATTTCCACTAAACCCAGGGATGCCACCCACACCAGTCCACTAACACCCAGGATGCCACCCACACCAGTCCACTAACACCCAGGATGCCACCCACACCAGTCCACTAACACCCAGGATGCAACCCACACCAGTCCACTAACACCCAGGTACCTACTTGCTGCTAGATGAACACAACAACAGGTGTAAGGAAACATGTCAAAATGTTTCTACCCCGCCGGGAATCGAACCTGATACCGGGAATCGAACTTATACCCACACTAACACAGGTTATAAAGTTTGTGTCAACTTATACCTACATTAATATGTTATAAAGTTTGTGTCAACTTATACCTACATCAACACAGGTTATAAAGTTTGTGTCAACTTATACCTACATTAACACAGGTTATAAAGTTTGTGTCAACTTATACGTACATTAACACAGGTTATAAAGTTTGTGTCAACTTATACCTACATTAACACGGGTTATAAAGTTTGTGTCAACTTATACCTACATTAACACAGGTTATAGTTTGTGTCAACTTATACCTACATTAACACAGGTTATAAAGTTTGTGTCAACTTATACCTACATTAACACGGGTTATAAAGTTTGACTCACGATTACAAACAAACCATACCACGGGTGGGGTTTGGACCCGCGGTCAGAGAGTCTCAGAACTCCAGACCGTCGTGTTAGCCACTAGACCAGCTAGCTTAAACCCGCGGTCAGAGAGTCTCAGAACTCCAGACCGTCGTGTTAGCCACTAGACCAGCTAGCTTAAACCCGCGGTCAGAGAGTCTCAGAACTCCAGACCGTCGTGTTAGCCACTAGACCAGCTAGCTTAAACCCGCGGTCAGAGAGTCTCAGAACTCCAGACCGTCGTGTTAGCCACTAGACCAGCTAGCTTAAACCCGCGGTCAGAGAGTCTCAGAACTCCAACCGTCGTGTTAGCCACTAGACCAGCTAGCTTAAACCCGAGGTCAGAGAGTCTCAGAACTCCAGACCGTCGTGTTAGCCACTAGACCAGCTAGCTTAATAAGATTCATAAAACGCTAGTTCAAGTCCCTTCACTGCCGTCAACATGAATGAACTTTAACTAGAGTTCGTCACGGCCAAGCTAGCTGGAGATTCGTCTGTAAAAACTTACATTTGTGGTGACAGTTGTGCCTGTGCTAACCTTCCTATGGTGTAGAAATATACCTAGTTGGATGAATCTTATTAAGCTAGCTGGTCTAGTGGCTAACACGACGGTCTGGAGTTCTGAGACTCTCTGACCGCGGGTTTAAGCTAGCTAGTCTAAGCGTCTGGGTCTAGTTGCCGGGGTTTTAAACTACGATCGGTCGGAGTCTTCTGGAACTTATAACCCGTGTTTAATGTGGTATAAGTTGACACAAACTTTATAACCCGTGTTAATGTAGGTATAAGTTGACACAAACTTTATAACCCGTGTTAATGTAGGCATAAGTTGACACTATCACTATATACAACTTATTATTTAGGTCACTTAGCCATAATTCCAACTTACCTCATAATGGGGCCCTTCATTATTAATACACAAATATACCCCCCACCCCGTCCCTATCACTACAAAAACAGCACTATCTTCACTATATAACACGACTATCACTAAATAATTCACTATCACTATATAACACAGCTTTATCACTATTCCTATAAGGTACCTAACATTCTTGTGGTGTAAATAATTTTTTTTTTGTTAAAACTTGTAGCTCCCTAGCCTAGTTGTAGCACATCGCTCGAGAGTGATAAGACTCAAGCGTTGTGGGTTCGAGCCCCACCAACCTAGTATACCTAGTTAGTGTATCCCTCCCAAGTTCACCAGCAAGATGAATGAAAAGAAGAGTAAGGATGTCGAATACCTTGGGGTAATATCACCCTCTCATGGAGGCTACCAAAGCATTCGGAGAATGTGATATCGGGACCATCGTTCGTGGGACTCCTCGCACTTTCGGTAAAGTATGTGAAGTCTGTCGCAGCGACGAGCTACTTCGCGGGCCTCCAATACCCGAAGGTCACGGTCGTATTGTACTGATGTTTCATGAACTTCACTGCATCTCTCTGTACGCCTCTCATGATGGAGTATTAATCTACCATAATGGTGGTAGTGAACTTACCGCCCGCAGTGTGGTGAAGAAATTACTACAAGATAACCCTGTTACAGAAAATTGAAAAAACTTAAATGTGTAAAACAGGGAGGCGGTACCTGCCCCTACCATGCACTGGCCTTCATGGACATAACTGTCAGTTCAGGTCTCAAGAAGGCCACCGACATTTGCCGCTTGTTCTACATGAGAATGATGTATTTCCCAGATGTTAAAGCAATCAATATGGTCAACTCAATGCTGACTGAATTCGACAATGATATAGATACTTCCACCGACGATTTACAAGAAAGTGTACTGCGACCCGTGATTAAAAGTCATCTGGCAGATATAAGGAAGACTGATACGTCTGTTAAACGTCAACTGGACACTGAGACGCCCTCAGATCCACCACGAAAAATGATAAAGATCTGAATTATCAGATAAAAAGAACATAAAGCTGATTATCAAGAATGTGTGTATGTGTGTGTGTATGTGTGCATGTGTGTGTGTGTGTGTGTGTGTGTGTGTTTTGAGTCCTCCAAGAACTGAAGGGGACGAGGTTATAATTAGGATAAATTCAATAGTAGTCAGATTTCAATTATTTTTTTTTATTTTTAAGTTAAGAATGTAATTAGGAGTCTATTATTATTAGTTCCATGGAGTTTCCTGAAAAAAAAACTATAGAAAACAAATAAAAATAGTGAGTTTTGGTATGACAACACTGCAGTATCTTTTATGAGTGACTGTGGGTTCGAACCCCACTGAAGGTATTTTTTTATGATTGACTGTGGGTTCGAACCCCACTCAAGGTATTTTTTTTATGACTGTGGGTTCGAACCCCACTTTTTTTTTTATGACTGACTGTAGCGCTGTATAGCCCTTGTGGCTTAGCACTTCTTTTTTATTATAATAATAATAATATGACTGACTGTGGGTTCGAACCCCACTCGTTTTTTTTTTTTTTTTTTTTTTTTTTTAACTGACTGGGTTCGAACCCCACTCGTTTTTTTTTTTTTTTTTTTTTTTTTTTTATGACTGACTGTAGCGCTGTATAGCCCTTGTGGCTTAGCGCTTCTTTTTGATTATAATAATAATAATATGACTGACTGTGGGTTCGAACCCCACTCAAGGTATTTTTTTTGTGAGTGACTGTGGGTTCGAACCCCACTCAAGGTATTTTTTTATGGAAACGACTATTACAAGTTCTGCCCTAATACTTGTAAAACCATAATTTCTGTATAATGTGTGAAAAATCATAAGAATATCTTCATAGATAGTGAAAAGCAGTCTACTAATATAATAACTTTTAAGAAAAAACTAAAACATGATTGATGGCGAGAATACATCATAACTGGATCTTCATATTGTAAACTGTATGTACTCATTAGGTATCTAGTAGGCACTCAGTAGGTGTTCAGTAGGTACTCAGAAGGTACCCTCTAGGTC